AGTCGACGAGGTCAAACGAGCGCGAGGTAAAACGCTCCCGGATTCATAAAAGTCCAACGTGTACCTTTTCTTTTTCTTTTACATTTTTTTCCTTCTCCCCGTCCACCTCCTACCTCCATCGGGAACGTGCTGGGCGTATCGAGGCGAGGTTTTCTTTCGCAAAAAATCCGCTTTTTGCTGCGGCAGCTTCGCGGGGCTTCGAACTTTCGAGCTGTGTGTCGGAAGTACGATAAACGACTTTGGCCCGTGACTTTTTTTTGCGCGACGTATCGACGTAGGATATTTCGGTGGCGGGGAAAAGACACTCGCGAATGCGCCGAATATACGCGCTTACGTCTGTGCCGTTGAGGAGTGTGTGCCAAAGTCGAAATTTTCACCCTACTTTTGACCCGAACTTTCTAACATCTGTATATTCTGGTGGATCAATGTCAAAATAATACACATAAAAACTGAAGTTTTGCTTAGCGCCTCTAAGTTGCAGAAAAAGCACAGAATGCCACTCGCAGGTGATACAGAGGAGGCAAACGTAAATTAAATAGAACTTTACCTCGGCATAAGTTAAATAGAATCAAAAGAGGTTGGCGAAGGCTGTGCTGAGAGAAAAAGTTTTGTTAATTTTGACAAAATATTATACAATATTATATTAACTTTTACAAATATTTTACAAAATATCAGTAGCAGCAAATAGTTCGTGGATATGAGACAAGTAGCCCTATAATGGAAACAAATGATTTGTTACTTTCAATTTGTTGCTCTAAGAGCCTTTGCACACAAATTGACATAACAGTAACTCAAGACGTACCGTAAGAATTGACCAATCACGTTGAGAATCGTCGAATCGTAGTCACCATTTTTACGAATATTTGATTGTAATTGGTCAATTCTTACAGTATGTTTTACGTTACTGTTATGTCAATTTATGTGCGAAGGCCCTAAACAACACTTTTGTAATGGAGGTATAACTAATCTATCTTAAATGGATGAGAATAAATGTGTCTCAAGCAATGCACATATGTTTGTTAAAATGTCAAATGATAAGAAACTACTTATAACATAACTGTTCGATCTTTTTTCTTAACGATCGTCAAACAACAAACGTACTTTTGTTCTGATAATCGATTTTTCTCAGTTTATTATAGCATAGACGTTACTTGTTAATGATAGGAGTGAGAACATTAAAAAGCTATAAACTGTTCGTGAAACTAGGCCAAAGTAGGCCAAAATGAAAAAAATATGATCTACATGTTTTTTATACTTCTACATTGGTGTCAAATTAGAAAGAAATTGGAGTGTATCTTTTGGATAGGTTTACTTGTAAGTAGAAATTCAGTTTTCACGTGTTTTAAACATATCCGAGTCGGAATTTTTTATCCCATACTTTCGACTTCAATATATTCCATTTAACGTCTATGCTATAATACACTGAGAAAAATCGATTATCAGTATAACAAAAATGCATAAGAAATAAAATTGAATACAAGATATAGTTAAATAATTTTAACAAAATCGGTATAGCTGAGACACAAATCATTCTATATTTTTTTAGCCGAGATTCCAACCGAAATATTTTAAATCTGTGTTAAATTAGTGAAAAATGGTTTGAATCTCGGCCAAACCAAGAATTTATTTGTATAAATAATTTTTTTAACTTTTTATATGTTTTGTTTAAACATTTTATTACTTATACAAATAATTTTACACATTTGACTTTTCATAATCAGCAAACCAAAAACGTCTATATCTTCAATATTCAATTTTATTTCTTATGCATTTTTATTGCACTTATTGATGATAGGAGCAAGAACATTAAAAAGCTATAAATTGCCCGTGGCAAAAACTCAAAGTGGGCCAAAATGAAAAAATATGACCTAAATATTTTTTATACTTCTACATTTATGCTAAATTAGAAAGAAATCGGAGCGTAACTTTTGGGTATGTTTACTTGTTAGCTCCAGTTTTCAAGCTTCGTGTTGATCGCGCGATCGGAGAATGTGGTTGGTGAAACGTTACTCGAACGACTCCTTTATTTCTGCAATATGCAGCGCAAGCAGGCGCGCAAGATCGATGCTGAGATGTAAGGACGCTTTACCGCGAAATTAACTCAGATAATATGGACCTTCGTATTCAGGTTAAAGTGTTCCTTGCGGAGCGCAAATACAGGACGGCCGATTCTCGCCGTTTTGCGCGCCCAGTTCGTTCGTACGCGCTCGTTACCGGCAATTTTAATTCCGGACGATTTTCAGCCGATCGCTGAATTAAATCGTGGCAATTAGTTAATCGCATGAAGTGCCGTGGAGTCGGGCGGCGAAACGAATACGTTCCGCGAATGACGGAGCGTATAGCCGCAGATCGACGCTTGTTATCGGTTTTATAAGTGGGTCCCTCTTGTACATTCGCTTTATACTTCGTGCGGTTGGGAAGGTGGGAATTAACAGTGGGTAACCCTCGACAAATTTGCAGTCGAGCTGCTCTCATGGAAAATTGAACGGATTATACGGCGAGGCTGATTTAATATCGGGAGCGAAGGGGATTTTTTTGGAAGAAGGGGAGCTGAGCTCTCTCGTGTTACGTGCTTTCAAAAATGAAATAATAGCCCGTCCGTTATTTCACACTGGACATGAAGGGATTCAGTTTTGCAGTTGTGAACTGTATGGTTTCTTGGTTACATTAATTAATATTAATTAATGTACAGAGAGTCCGGCGGCCGTACGATTCCTCGTGAAAAGATAAGTCGCGCGAGCGTAAAGTGCGATCTTTTTCGTGTACGAGGTCTGCTTTTATAGAGAGTTAATTCCGAAAATTGTAAAGCCGCCGTTCCGTTTCGCTGGGCGAGTCAGCGACGCCGCGAGAGTCACATTTCAACCAGGCAATATTCAAATTTCCCTTGACGAGCGTTTTAATGAAATACGCGAGGACTTTGCATGATTCTTCTCTCGGCCGTGGAATAATCGCCGGCTTAACGACGCGTTCGCAGCGACTTGAGCTTTGCTTCCGCGGCCCTGACTGTTAGCTGTTCCCTTATGCCGCTCGCGAATTTTAATCGGCAAGCGACGTAGACGACGTAGCAGCTCGAACCGTAGCAAAAGTTACGAATGGGAGATGAGCGAGCTCTAACTTCGCCGCGGAACTAGCTCTCCTCGGACAACTTGTATTCATTTTCCATAAACGAGTCGCAACGGCGAAGAAGCACCGCAGGAGGAGGCCTTGTCTTAACAGCATGCGCGAAATATTTTAATGCCGAGTCGTCGCAATTCGTCGTGGTAGAAAAAATGTTGCACTTGGTGCGCTAAAGTTACCTGAACTATTCACCTGAATCGAAATGCTAACCCAACTTTCGACTTCAATATTCTATTTGACGTCTTCATCGATACTCTTCAGTCTGTATCAATCTCTTGCGATTCTATTTAACCTACTACTTTTGCTGGATTGAAGGTCTTTTTTTTTTATTAGGTGTACAACTTTGCTTCCGCCGTTTTCATATAGATGGCTTTAGCGGTAAGTGGTGGTCGAAATAAATAGATTATAGACGTCATACAATAAACTTGGGCATCTGTCAACATAACATAGAAACATTAGTCGATTTGTGTCTGCATTATAAAGTTATTCTCGATTGAAAATGCCAGTTTACGAGCCAAATTCTCGTCATTTGCGGGAGGTTTTAATTTTCTGCTTCAATATGAAGAAATCTGCGGCTGAGGCTCATAGAATGCTCTCAAATACTCATGGTGAGGCCGCTATTAGTGAAAGAACGTGTCGTGAGTGGTTTCAACGCTTCAAGAACGGTGATTTTGACGTCGAAGACCGGCATAGCGGTAGAAGAGAGAAGGTTTTCGAAGATGCAGAATTGGAGGCATTACTTGATCAAGACTCGTGTCAAAATCAAGAAGAATTGGCACGATTGGGAGTGACTCAACAAGCCATTTCAAAACGCCTCAAAGCCATGGGAATGATTCAGAAGCAAGGAAATTGGGTGCCGTACGAATTGAAGCCGAGAGATGTTGAACGGCGTTTGCTTGTGAACAGTTGCTTGAAAGGCAAAGACGGAAGGGATTTCTGCATCGCATTGTGACTGGGGACGCTTGGAGGTATACGATAACCCCAAACGCAGAAAATCATGGGGAGTTCCCGGCCATGCTTCCACGTCGACGACCAAACCGAATATTCACGGCTCCAAGGTCATGCTCTGTATTTGATGGGACCAGCTCGGCGTAGTGTATTATGAGCTATTAAAACCGACTGAAACAATCACAGGCGATCGGTATCGAACGCAATTGATGCGTTTGAGCCGAGCATTGAAAGACAAACGGCCGCAATACATGATTTTGCAGCATGACAATGCTCAACCCCATGTTGCGAAAGTGGTCAAGACATATTTGGAAATATTGAAATGGGAAATTCTACTATGGGAAAGTAGTGGCCAGCGATGAACAATACTTTGAATCATAAATGTATAACCATTATATATTTTATCATATATTTAATCATAAATGTATAACCATTATATATTTTTACAATTAAGCCTCGAATTTTGGAAAAAAAACGGCGGAAGCAAAGTTGTACACCTAATAGAACTTACAAGTAACATTTTGTGTATATTTTTGCTATTTAGAAGCGTTATGTAAGGCTTTAGTTTTTATATATATTAAATATACACTGATCTCCTTGAGAATGTATAAATGTTAGGAAGTTCGGGTGCTTAGAGCTTTATTTATCCGTCGTGAATGAGTGTGTCTTTTTACTATTAGTTAATGATACAAACATTTTGGTACACTTAATTTATCTTGATAATTAAAAAAGTTAGAGTTCCTGAAGGAGGAAGAAAATCTTGAAGTGTGTGTGTGTGTGTGTGTGTGTGTGTGTGTGTGTGTGTGTGTATATATATATATATATATATATATATATATATATATATATATGTATATAAATGAAATGGATATCCCGGCCCGGTGGCTAACGCGGAATTGTAGATTTTCTCGGCAATGTCCAATATTAATCCGAAGTGTCGCAAAACTTTAATCAAAAGCGCATTACATAAAGTGTCGCGAAAGTTCCCGCATGGTAAGCTCGACAAGCTCTCAAACTCCGTGCGCCTGTTTCCAACTATGTAGATCGAGTTCGCGGAGGTGACATCTGTTTCGCGCTCTCTCCTTGCCTCCCTCACTAAATTAATTATACTTTGAGATTGCGTTTTATGCCTATTTACAAGCACTTTGTCAAGTTCCGTGCGGCAAGAAGGCCAAAGTCGCGCGCTTTAGCCGTATCTTTGTACCGCAGTACAACGTGTGCGATACTTTGAAAGTAGCAGCGGGGAGGGAGGGGAACACTCGAATGTCGACTCGGTAGAAGCAGATCGCTTACATAAGGCAAATGTATCGCGAACACACAATTTCGTGATTTCGAAAGTTCTCTCTGTGGTAGAGAAGAGAATCGCGCGCTTTTCACGAGCGAAGTCGGGTCCGGATTGCAACGCGCCGGCTTTCCGTTCCAACCCGAGGTCTCGGGGTGCGGCGACCCAGCCTCGAACTTTCCGACAACTAACAAAGTCGCGCGAACGGCAAACTAATTGAGTTTTCCCGCCAATTATCCCCGGCTCCGCCCGACAATTACTTTTATACTCGTTTTTCTCCCTTTCTGCCCGTCCTGCCCCGCTTCGCCGCCCCTATCGGGGTTCGTGCTTCGCCTCAAAGTCCGTCGTAAAGTAAACGGATCCGAGGATACCCGAAGAATAGTCGAGCCAAGCTAACCCGATCGAAGAAGCTAACCCTCGCTCTGCAGATAGCGGAGAATCGGGGTTGAAGTATCGCAACCGCCGACCGGGCTGTTCAATTTCTGCTCTTTCTCTTCTCCCCTTTCTATTTACGGCCGCGAGGACGATCGCCGTGCGGTTAGTTCTTGCTGAATCCTTGCGGAGACGCTCGATAGATCGCATCGGCGATAAAACGTCTCCGATAACCGGTGTATATATATACCCGACAAAGTCGAATTGTGCTGGGAAAGGAGGCAAAGAATTTCGGGCAGCGCTAATATCGTTAAACCAGCCAATCTGGCATCAGTTATTTTCGAGAATTTCCGGCAATAAGTCGAAATTTCAAGATGGCGAATCAAACTTATCTTGAAGTTGTTTGTAATTTCATGTGTATTTTCAAGTGCAATTCAGGTGCTAGGCATTAGTCGATTAAAATTTTAGTTGACTAAAATAATCGCCAAATTAATTATGAAAATTAACGTTATGCATGTAATCACGAATAATTGTATCGGTTAATTAAATTAATTATTAATCAGTATAATCTGTATAATCAATCAAATCCAAGTTTCATTAATAATTAATTTCGTGGACTAATTATTCGTAATTGCATATATGAGGGTCGATTAGTTTTGATAATTGATTTGCCGATTATTTTAGTCAACTACAATTTTAATCGAATAATTGCTCAACACTGGTACTCTCGTGTATCAATATGGGCAATAATTGGTTGAAATTTTCCTTGAAATAATTATTGACAGATCAATAATCAAAATTGATCAATTATCATATATAAAATCACAAATAATTTCACCGCGATTGATGAAATTAATCAATGTATATTCAATCACATCGAAGTTTGATTAATAATTTTATTAATCGTAATGAGGTTATTTGTGACAATTCACGTATGACAATTGATTAATATTGATTACTGATTCGCCGATTATTTGAATCGATCAAAATTTTAATCGATTAATGTTCAACACTGTCATACATCCGCGAGAGATAATAATAAGAGATGTTACAAGGGAATATAAAATTACGATCACATTTCGTCGGGTAAATATTGTTGAAAGCGTTGAACGGTTGCTCCATTGAAGCACTGAAGACGAAAGCGGAAGCGAAAACATAAACAATCGGGAGATATGCGAGCGCTTGTCGACACTGTCAACATCCCCGGAGCGGAGCATGCGGTAGTGAATGCCGGTCGGGGTCGCGGGCGAAGATGGTAGGGATAAGTGGATATGTGGCGTACGCGTGCAGACGGGGGATAAGTAGTAAACTCGGCGAACGTGCGTCACACACACGCGTGGTACGCGCGCCGTCGGAGGGACGCGGAAAACGCTACGACACAGCGCGGGCATTTCGAGTCGGCTTGTTCGCGTAGGAGGAACTCTCGTCTCGTTTCTTGGATCGGGAATCGATTCCACAACGTCAGCGAAGAGAGCCGGTGGCCAGTGCTCGATCGTTGGAAAAGTCGGAAGTATGCCGTTCTTCAAGAAGCTCCGCAGATTTTCTCGCCACAAAAGTAAGTCAACTCGAAGAAACTACTTGTCCTCAACTTTCGACTCGTGTGTGCGCTCGAGTGTTTAAATACGTCAAATACGGGCATTGCCTTATCTCTTTGTGCGACCTGCGCGATTGAACGCGACCTCTTATTTGAAATTTGGATCGAGTGTAGTTGCGTTGATCGCTCCATTTGTGACCGTACGGCAGCTTTTTGCCCGGCCAGCACAGGGTTCAAAGTCCGAAGGTCGCTTTCATTTTTCCAATATTATTTCTCGGATTATCTCGCGTGTATTTCTTCATTTTATTTTTCAAATCACACGTATACGTCAATGCTCCGCGCAGGTCGTACTTCTTTCCGTCCGATTGACGCGGAAGTGAAACTCAAGATTCGCTCTCGTATCTTTGCTCAGAGTCCTCTCTAAGGCTTGTGTGCAGAGTCTCCTGCAGGTTTTCAAGATTTTACTTAATCAAAAGAGTCACATCTCGTCAAATGGCTCGTAGAAATTAAAATCAAACAACGAGAATAGCTAGTCTATTAAAACCGAACGTAAAATGTTAATTGCTAAATTTACGTATGTTTGATAGTGTAAATGCACGCGCCAAGATTGAAAATATTTTTTTACAGAAAAATTAGTCTCTTCAGTGAAAACTTAAAAGGTCTGCGTGATTCCCTTCAGGGCGGTCTTTTTATTTTGTTTTGTTTTTTTTTTTTTTTTTTTTTTTTTAAGTATATCTAGATTTCTTTTCTTCGATGAACTTGATATACAGAATACAAAATTTATTTATTTAATATTAATTTTTTAATTAAATTTATTAGAATATAAAATTTGTGTTTAATATAAGTTAAAAGATGCAATATTTTAAGTAAATCATAAGGTATTTCATAATTTATCACGAAATTTTCCGGGTATTCTCCACTTAAGGAGTTAATAAGAAGAGTTTCGTTTAGGGCGATAAAGAAATAGAGGAATAATTATAAAAAAAAAAAATTTTAATTTGACGAGAAAAAATGCACAAGTGTAAAGAAAATATTTTCTTTCTATATATTTTCTTTCTGTCCAATTTCATTATGTTTTTAATAATCCAAAGCAATAAACTATTGGTAAGATTTATCTTGCCGAGAAATATGGTAAATTTTGTTAGAAATATAGCAGATTTCGCTAGAAGCGTAGCAGGTGTTTTAATAGTACATTTCAGTTAAAATATAAGTAGTGCACGTGAAATGAAAGGACATAGTGAATTACTGCAGAATATCGATTTATTCCTCGGCGCAAAATCCTATGGCAATTTTTGCTATAAAATTCTGTCTGTGTATGCTAACTTAAGACAACCTTGACGTGTGCAATTACACTGTCAAACATATGTAAATTTAGCAACTAACGTCTCGCTTTTGGCTCTGATCAGTTACTCACGTTATTTGATTTAACTGAGGGACACAACGCGCGCGCCATTTCTTTCCAATTATTTACGAGGTACAGGTGACTCGATTGGTGCGCGGAGATTATTCTCTTCAGTTCTCGTCTCTCCCTCCCTCTCTTTTCTTCTCTTGGCAAAGTAGCACATTTCTCTAACTAAAATCGTCCGTAATCGAATTTCGACATTCACGAAGATTCTCCAGCGATGCGGGACGATCTTTAAGGGTATGCACTTCGTCTTAATGCAGTTCCGAACGGATCCGCACATGCCGTTCTCTCGACGCGAGACAGCAAATCAGCATTCGCGCTGTAATTCGCGCGACGCGCTCAGCTTTAATCGGCTCTAACATTCGGTACGGCGGAATTGCGTCCGCCACTCACGAACCTTCAATCTAGCTTCAATCAGTCTCCAATCAGGTCGCGCATTAAATATTGCGCGGGTAAAGGTCGGTGGCAAAATTTGCGGGTGTGCATTCCAAAGCGCACGTCCGGAACCGGACGTTCGTGGGATGTTCATGTTCGGTGATTCGAAATCGATCCACGCATCGCGATACATACTTCTCTTGTATTCTGCTTTTTTCCGAGTTCCAAAAAATATAATCTCATCTTTAGATTCTCTGTAGAATTTTACTCTGATACAAGATGTTTGACAATTTCATCACACACCCGTTGTGTGCAAATAGGACTCATCAAACTGAATGTAAAATTCATCCATCATTTCGCGAACAAGCGAAATTGTGGGTTGTTAATCAGAGAAGAATAATCACGCGCGATATAGTAGATGAGTTGTGATGGCGATGTCTGCCGTGTGTTTATATGTGTGTGTGTTTGTTAGGTCAGACTGAACAAAAAAATCCTCATTTTGCAAATAACCACGTGGATTTTTAGTTATTGTTTCAAAAACATTAGTGCATTGTCGCGCACAACCATATAATAGAACTGTCTTATAATTTAATCACTTTTTTGGTATATTTTGATATAACTCGCAGTATTCCACAAAGTTTATATTGCGTGCATGAAAGAAAATTGTGCGCACTGAGAAAGAAAAATCGTCAATCTGATTATACAAAGTTATTTTGACCGCAATCATACTTTTTGGTTGTCGCAACATGAAACTGGTATTAGTGATATGCATATAAAATTGTTATTGCTGGCATTGTAGAATTTATAAAAAAAATGGTTTTTTCGATCATAATTTATCATAATTATTTTTCTGCGTGACTAGAGTTACAAATACCAAATATTTTTTTCTCAGTGCATTCATCACGCGGGAAATACGTAAACAATCCGCGTAGACGTAATCTCAGAAACCAACGGCGCAATCTTGAAAAAAATTGCAATGATATCTAGTAGGTTTGCGATTGATAGTCTACTCGACTAGAACAGGAATTCTTTCGGCCAAAGTTGTCGCTTAAAATACGGCATTGCAGGAAACAGCAGAGCGCAACCAGAGCGCCTTTCTTCGGGCGCGTACTGGCGCAAAAACGGCGCGCAATGTTTTTCCTTGAGTTTTGCAGCGCGCATACCTATCGCCGAGCATTACGCGATAACCAAGATGTGACATGGTATCGAGAGCACAACGGAATATCAAAGTCTCGCGTGTCCGCTGCGAAGATGCTCGCTGTAGCGCGTCGAACGCGCGTTGTCGCGTTTCCGTTTCACGCGACAGTGCCGTGTTTACGGTTGTCAGACTGCTCTCGTGCGTCGCGCGCTGTGCTCGGAATAAATATCAGTCAATATTTATCGCGGGCCGTTTGAATTCATCAAAATACACGTTCCGCCATGCCGCGCGATACGAGACGCGCGGGAAATAATAAATACGGCGCGCGCGAGAATGTGAATCGCGCGCAGCTATTGCCGCGGCTGTTGCAAGTGAAATTTGAAATATTTGTAAGGGCCGCTATTGCATTGCTCCGCATCCCGTTTCCCGAGATATCTCCTTCCCGCGACATTTCGGAACCGATACATCGCGACGGATTTCTCTCGCAGGTCGCGCCGACGCGCGGATCGAGTCGAGATCGGAGAAGAGCCGGCGTGTTTTTCCTTTCGCGAGCAGACATGACCGCCGTTATGTCGCCGTGAGTCGGACAGAAGTTTAATAGTCCACGCTATAAAGAGTTAATCGAGCGACGAGTCCGAGATCGACGGGATCGATCGGCAACGCAGCACGTCAGCGTTTTCCCCGCGTGATATCTTTTTTCTTCTATTTTTTTTCACTTTGTTTTGCTCCATTCCTCTCCGCGTATAAGCGCCGTAGTGCCTTAATTATATGCTCTTATCATACGCGCGATTTCCTTTCACTCGTCGTAATCGTTAGACTTTCGTGGATTTTTTCGCCCGCTTTTTCACTTTACGCACGCAGCGACGATTATTCGGCGCCGCCGCGGTGTTTCCCCCATTTTACGCGTGCATACACGCACACATAGTACACACTCACAGCGGCTTCCTGCGTCGTAGTTTCCCTACCGTGTAATTTTCATCTCCCGATAGCTTTACATAATTCCACGCGCGCGGTTTTCACTTTCCGATCCCCGTCGGTTCACCACAGGTTTGCTGATCGGTGATCGATCGATCGATCGATCGCTTGATCTGTCGATCAGTTGTTACCGTAATTCGATGATAATCTCACCCGCTCATCCTCGATTCGGCGATAGCGAGACATCATTCCCAAGCCGATTTGCGATATCGATCCGCTCTCTCTCCCTCTCTCTCTCTCCCTCTCTCTCTCTCTCTCTCTCTCTCTCTCTCTCTCTCTCTCTCTCTTTTTCCCTCTCTGGAAAAAAGCGCGAAATTGCGGAGAGCCTCGTTTCTCAATATCACCAATTCAAATGCGTTCAGCGTCGCACGTAAAAGTGCGCTTCCGCACGTCCGATCGTTCACGTTTGGACATTTTTTTGCCGTCCTGTGTCCTCAGATACTCCCGTGCGAATACGGGGCGGGAGGCGCGAATTGCGCTTCTAGCCCTTTAGTTTCTCCGCTGATACAATGTCGACACGAAGGCACCGTGGCGTATACGGCGCGCCGACGACAAATTTACAGCCCGCGCCATAGAAACACCGGCGCATATGCGCCTGCGGGTTTATATCATCTGGCGTCGTCGTTTATTCAAATATACGCGAGTGTGCGCGCGTCCATCACTTCGCCGGCTGAATTTCCGTCCTTTTCGGGCGAGCAACGCGCCGTATCGCGCGCGCGCGCTTGTCTGTGTACGTGCCGGCGCGCGTCCGTGTGTGTGTGTATGTGTGTCCATGTTTCCCGACAGGGAAATTCATTTCCCATCGCGAAACATTGCATCGAGTTTTACGGCCTCTCAAAGCGGTCGCAAAGTAGTAGCAGTCGCAAGAAGTAGATTAATCAATGTAGCGCGCGCGCGCGCGCGTGCATCTTTGTGCAGCTGCGTCGTTTAGAGGTCGACGTTAAAGCGCTCCGTCGAAAGTGACAAAGCGTGCGACAATAAAGAACGTTTAGAACTCCCGAACTCCGATGATTGCGCGTTGCAGAACGATCCAAAATAATCAAGCAATATAATCGAAAAATGTAATCTCGTTTTTAGCGAAATTCTTTTATATAAAAGATGGGGATTCTTCTGATGCCGAAATAAAAA